CTTGTGGGGGCAGATGCGAGGGTGTGGATTACGTCGGCGCACTCACCTAACAGATGTGGATTGTTGGCGTGTGAAGCGTGTAAGCAGGTGGGAAGGTTGGACTTGTTCACACATAAAAAAAACACACTGCAAGCATTTGAACTTAATCCTGTTTTTGTCAGTGTGCAGAAGTAAAACGCTCCACACACTCTGCAACACTTTAAGGTGTGAAACTTAGTTCTCAGTTGCAACTTCAGTTGTTAGTCCTTAAAATGTCAAATAAAAATAAATACATGAATTATTGTAGTATGGGGTGGTACAATAGGAAAAAAAGGAAAGTTTTGGATGGAAAGTAATTTTAGCATGTATGTTTCAAATTCAAATGATAATAGAGAAAGTATTGATGAGATTCTTATTACTTGTACCAGAACTGTAGTACGCAGTATCCACTCAGGGAGCTATATTACATGTCTGTACTTACTTGTTATCTCTAGTCTGTGCTCCTCCTAACCCTTTTTATGGAGGTTTGTGACCGTCCCAGTGATTTCCCCATTCTTATATTGTTCAATATGGCTTATATTTTCCACCAGTTTTGCTCTTCCAGATGATGCCAGAGAGCACGAAATTGCTCACTGATATAATCTGCTACAGGATGTGACATTTAATGGTTTGTGTGTGTGTCTGAGTGCGTTTGTATGGTATGCGTGTGAGAATAGCCGTATATATTTAGACAAAGTGTTCGGCACAGGTGTCTGTCCCAATACCTGGACACATACATCTTCAATCTCCTCTATTTCGCCACAGACTGCTGCTGCATCCGAAACCATTGCATGGAGCTTTATTATATTTGTGCAGCCAGTGTGTAAAAAAACAGAATGCACTTGGCTCCCTAATGGAGTGCTCCGGAGCCAGGCAGGAGTGGCTGCTGGCTTGTTTACCGACCAGCGCAACCTAGCAGCACACACCGACCGCTATTAATCGCAGGCAGCAAAGAGAGACAGGGAAAGGTAGTTTGGGGAAAGCAGACCAGCTTGTTCTTACATCCTACCGAGTGCTTTATCCAAGAGTAGAGTTAAAAGCCATTATCCTTAAGATCCAACCCCTTGTACTTCCTTTCAGCCTCTCTTCACTCCATCATAATCTTGTCTCTTTTTCCTACGGAGGCTGACGTTAACAGGCTTTTGACTTGCAGTATGTAAGGTTAAAAGGCACTATGTATTGCCCTCAGCCACTAACAGTAAATGTGACCTGTTGCTTTATGTGGACATGCTGCACATTGTTAGATAAGTTAGATTCTTTACAGTTCAATCGTTTGGTTCATTTTATGGAAACTATGAGCACCAAAGTATAATTCATTCAGATTTACCAGCATTGTAAACAAGAGAGACGGTAAAAAAGTTCTGACCCCTAACCTGTGAACTGTTCATAAAGTCTGTACCATAATGTATATGTCCATTCCTTTATTTGATTTGATTTGATTTAATTTGATTTATATTCTGTTAGTCCGTAAGGGTCCGATCAGGAGAATCAAAGAGTTTTATTAAAGTAAATATTCAGTTGCAATGGGTCATGGCGACGGCACAGAGAAAAAAGTACGACCTGAAATTCAAACTGTTAATTGTCAAATTTGCTGAACAAAACTCAGGAGAAGCTGCACAATTTGATGGTATTTCAATATTTTTTGTGCTAAAGGAATAAAACAACTGTCCCAAATAGACGCCTGTCCCCAGTAAAGCAGGGTGAGTTCAGTGATTTAAGCAAATAAATGCCCAGGCTATTATTAAAAATTTTCCGGTATGTTTTTTTCAACTTTTAAGTCCCTAAGAAGATTTCCTACCATCTGATGGAAATATCTTTTTTACATTTTTGTTATAAATGTTGAAGTTCTGGGAGAAATCTGTGCAAAACCTTCAAATATGATCTAGGATCTAGCAGCTACCTAGACAGCAGATACTGTTCAGTACCCAAAAGCTCTGAGTTGAACTTTTAAGCATATCCCGTTGATATTTTAAGCTTATTACCTTAATAGCTTTGACCTGCAGGCCAATTTGGAGTCAGTCTGTGAAAATATAGCATAAGGTCAACAGCCGAAGTGAGACTTGAAACTGTCAACGGTATCATTTAGGGCCATCAGATGTCTTTCTCATTTGACCCCCCTCACACAATCCTGGATCAAACGCTGCACATGTGTACCTGCTGTGCATTACAAGTTCCTCTGATAAGATATTCACACTGTCTGACTATTAGAAAACCCTGTGATTTGAGTGTATAGCAATTTACTTAGTAAGAGATGATGAGATCATTTGTCATATGTCTGCACAGAGTGAAACCCTGTGGGGTGTATTGGAGCCTTTGGAACCGTATTGAACACCAAAGAAACATACATGGAGGAGTTATTGATCTTGAACATCTATGTATCTTCAAAAGCACCTCGAATACATGAGTTAACGTGGGAGGCTGTAGGATGATCAGTAAACAATAGAGGTAACTTACATTTGCAGGCTTCTGCTTACAGGAAATGTAGTGGAAAATAAATTAATTTATTGTATCTTCAGGCTACAAGGTGTGTTTGTCCTCTACTGGCTACAATGTCAACTGACTGCTCTCAAAAGGAATACAACAACAATAACATCATTTGTGCCATTTTCTTTGCACTGGGGGCTTGAGACACTCGTGTACTATTGAATCTGTTGTGTTTGTAGCTGATGTATGTGGGGAGCGGGCCTTCCCAAATGGATTAATACCATAACCAGTTCCAGATGGCTGCGACATCTTGTTCCCCTTCCCGTGATCGTTTTAATGCTTTATTGATTGCTGTTGTCCAGGGAACTGAACCTGCATGCAGTACTGCTTATTCCTTTCACACACACATCATCATCCACCACACACCTCCACCGTTCTCACATTCTCCCATCCGTAAACCCACAATCCATTTTTCATGGCGCTCTGGAATGATTATGCCACGAGCTGATTGGACACACCTTTCATCTGCTCACACTGGAAGGATAGTGAGGCATGCTGGGAGGGGGAATCGGAAGTGGATGTGATATAAACACTAAGGGCCAATCGCACAAGTGTAACGACCAGTTCCAAGTGATAGAGTCTCTCCCTGTGGGCATCTTCAAGCACAGCTGCTATTCTTTGTTCATGTATGTGCAAAAAGGGCGGATGAAGTTGAATACGGATCAGAGGGTGTCGTGATTAATGGATACACTCACAGTCAGTGACGTCATTGGTCTCATTGCTCTGAAACAGCTGTGCCAATCACATATACAGTTGACGCATGACGACAACAGCTCAACAAATTAAGAAGCACTTCTTCAGGAAATCATTTTGTTGTCTGGATGGTGCAGAGCGGCACAATATTACCACACAGCCCTATAAATCTACAGATGGCAGATGGTGTGTTTTTTTGTTTTTTTTAACAATTAACTAGATAGAAACAAATAATGTCACATATCCTAAAATCTGATATAGCAGTGTTTGAACTGTAATGCGTCTCAAGAATAAAACATGAACCACTGAAATGATAGTTAAAAGTTTTCTAAATTCTGTAGCAGCCTGGTGTCATGTGCATATGCATTTAATGGAGGTAAACACAGTGGATGGCTGTGCGTAATGGCACTGTGCTTTGAAATCGGAGGCTGCAAATATATCAACATATGTGTCCTGCTGCCTTCAGATGGCTGCAAGGATTTAATGAAGTGAAGGAGAAGCTTAAAGCAGCTGTGGACAACACATACTGTAAGAATCACTCATATTAATTTATAGATAAGTGCAGACGGCTTTACTGGTGTCCTGCTTTATCCACATTAGGTGTTATTTTTTGATGCCAATTTAAACTCATCTGCTGGCTGGGGAGTGTATTAAATTAGTTTAGTTACGTTTAAAGCGTTATTGCTGTGCATTTGCTGAAGATATTTAGCTTCCGCTTGTTGACAAACTCCTCAGATTGGCAGCAGAGTGACGTTGTGCCAGGAACAGACTTCGTTCTGAGGCGTCTATTCCCAGCACAGTCCTAAGGCTCAGTTTCCACCAAAATACAAACAACTGGCTCTGCACTGTCTCATTTGAATGAACCTCTTGTTTGTGCCTCTCCCCACTGTGCACCTTTCACCCTGTCTTGACTGTCTTGGGCACCAAAATACCATACAGACGGGAAAAAAACACATATTTCTCTTTTCTTTTTTTGGAGGGGGTGTCAAAATTCAAGATCAGTTAAAAATCAAACTGTCAGAGCTCTGATTGTGGTGGTTGAACACCGCCACCAACTATGTCCCCAAGGGTTCAGAAACCACTATGTTCAGCATCAATAATCTATGTGATTAATGCATCTGCCATGTAGTTTTGTCTATATCTTGCTTCACATATGGAACAAGGAACATTTCCAGGCTCTCACGTGTCTGTCTCATGTCGTGGGTTTTATCATTCACAGATGTGTCTCTTCAAGTATTTCATGTCGAATGTATTGCCATTAGAGGTGTAGATCTTCACTAGCCTCACAATTTGATTAGGATTCAACTTTCAGTGATTCTCAATGCATCTTGATGCATTTTCTATATTTTTTCACATTAATAATAATATAAAAAGCTGCATCTTGGCAATAGCAGTATCTGTGTGACCCACCTCAGTACATAAACATCACAAAAGAAAAACAAAAGTCCTTCAGCAGTGCATAACAAGTGTGCTGTAATGAACAAAAATAAGGTCACATAGTAGCTCTAGCAGCTCTTAGAGAGGACACTATCTGAATGTAGCATATATATTTAGGGATGGGGATCGAAACCCGG